CGGGGCTGGCTCTGCCCGCCTGCGCGGCTCGCCCCGGCCGGTCGGGGGCAGGAGGGCAGGGACCGGAGGCCCGGCTGCCCGGGTGAGTGCCCCGGGGGCCGCCCCGCGACCCGTCCTTCCCCCGGGGCGCACGGCAGCGGGTGTCCGGGGGGGTCGGCCCCGGGGCGGGCGCCGCAGCACCGCTCGCCTCCAGCTTGCGGCCAGCAGCCCCCGGGGAGCTCGGTGCGATTTCAGGATGCCAGCCCTGGTCCCGGGGAGGGTGTATTTTAAGGAGGAGCCCTAGGTGGTTTTGCAGACGTAGCTATGGACCTGCAGCCCTTCTCTTTCCATGCTGGGAGCTGGGGGAAGAGAGGAGCGGCCGTGGCTTGGCGCCTCGGCGCTCCCTGCCCACTGCGTCTCCCTGCTCCCAGACTTCCTCCCGCTGAAGTGCGACGCCTGCGAGCGGATCTTCTGCACCGACCACGTCGCTTACGCCCAGCACGACTGCACCTCTGCCTACAAGAAGGTAAGCGCGGAGGGGAGGGCTAATCCGGCTTCGTGCGTGGAGCTGCTGAGCCTTCGCAGCCAGCGATCGGAATAATTTGTGACTTCTTTGGTCACTTGGGGTGCGCGCTGAGTCCCTGAAAGCCACGATCTATATCTCAGTGCCGCAAACTTCCAGCCCGCCCTTTCCCACTGGGTGAAATGGTTTGGGCATCCCCCGGCCCTGCTGCCTTCCCTTCCCAGAGCATGTGTCCGTGCTGGGTCAGAAACAGCGAGCTCTTTGGAGGGTGGCGAGCAGGATCTCAAACCGCAGGTGACGCTGCGGAAGCCACAGCAGGCAGATCCTGCAAGGGAGAGAGATGGCCGCACAGCGCTTGAGGTTGCCCAGCTGCATGCTCCCAGCCCCCTTTTCTTGTCTCCACAGGACGTGCAGGTGCCTGTGTGTCCCCTCTGCAACACCCCGGTCCCCGTGAGGCGGGGAGAGATGCCCGATGTCGTGGTGGGTGAGCACATTGACCGCGACTGCAAGTCCGACCCCGCGCAGCGCAAGCGCAAGGTAGGAACCCAGCGCTCTCCGTCTCGCTGCCGAGCTCCGCTGGGTCCCTGCCGAAGCCTGGGGGTGGGATGAAAACACCACACAACTCTGCTCTGCCCGGTGCCCTCCCTGTTTGCACAGGCCAAGGGCAGGAGGGGTTGGTGGGCTGGAGGCGTACGCATCTGCAGGGCTTTGTGGTATGGGGCTGGGCAGCTGCGTGGGACACAAGGAAAGGCAGGATGAAGATGGGAAATTGCATGCTGCCGTTAGGAAAATGCGATCAGCAATTAGCTGCCCCTTCTTGCCAGGAGAGGAAATTGCCACAGGGAGCTGGCGCTGCAGGAGCCCAGCCCAGCAGCAGCTGGAGGGCTCTGGGCTGTCGCGCTGCCCTGGCAGGGCAGGCAGGAGTCCTTGGGCGAGGAAGTCTCTCCTGCTGTGCGTTCTGTGATCGTGGAGACCGAAGCACTAGTGAATTACTAATAAACTATCTAAAGAAAACTAGTATTCAGAGACTAACTCCAGAGCCCCGCAGAAGTGGCACTGGGAGAGAAAGCTGCTCAGTGCCCAGGGCGTGGTGTGGAGGGAAGGGACAGCCCCAGCCCCAGCCCTGCCGGGTGTGTTCCTTTTTCACCACCGCCATGTTGTCTTTCAGATATTCACCAACAAGTGTATGAAGCCCGGCTGCAAGCAGAAGGAGATGATGAAGGTGATCTGTGACCAGTGCCACAAGAACTACTGCCTCAAGCACCGGCACCCCCTGGACCACGACTGCAGCGGGGCAGGGCGTCCCCTCTCCAAAGCAGGGTGAGGGCCTGGGGACAGACAGGCTGGCAGGGACGGGACTGTGCTTGTCAGATGGGTGACAGGGAAGAAGCTGAGCTCCTCCTGGCCTGTTGTCTGGGACTGCTGTGTTCTCACACTCCCTGTCCTGGGTGCCGGGGCGTTATCCAGCAGCGTTAAGGTTTGTAGAGTCAGCACAGCTGTATATGTAGTCTCTCCTTCCTGCAGCAAAAGCTGCCAGTACTGCCCATGGGCTGTTTTGTTCTTGCTTCTTCGTCCAGTCCCTTATTGTGTAGCCAATGATTTCTGCCTATCATGGCACAGTGTTTTGCGGAGAGAAACGGCAGTTGAAACTTTTGGGCGTAGCTGAGCTGCCACATGGGTTGGGAGGAAGAAAGGGAGCTGGATGCCAGGGAGGTGTCTTATCCAGCTGCATCTCCCCGGGTATTCAGTGCCCAGGGATGGCCCACGATGGTAAAGCAGTCGCATCCTGTCTGTCCTAGGCACGCTGCAGTGGCGAGAGCCCAGGCATCCTCCTCCAAAACAGTCACCGCATTGAGCAGCGGAGCTGCCCGGCCAGCGGACAGCCCCTCTTCTCCAGCCTCTGCCAGGTATGGTGACGACCCGACTCGTAATTCTGAGGTGGGCGCGGCCAGGCTCAGCTTGGCTCCCTGCAAGACACAGGAGTGATAGCTCCTTGCTTCTTGTGCACCAGCAGGGCTGCGTGCTCATAGCAGGGCTCCCCGCCTTGACAATAACCCAGCTTCTCTCCTGTTTGCAGAGGAGGCAGAGCAGCTGCGCCGCAGGCTCCCAGCACCTCCCCTCCAGCTGTCATGCTGCAGAACGGGCTGGTGAGTGGCCTGGCCTGGGCATTTGGGGTGGGTTTGGGTGGTTCCTGTGCCCTGGGGAGCTACTGCAGCAACTGCTTTGTAACCCACGCTCTGTAGGTGACCATGGTGCTCCCCAGCTGGGCCTCCCCTGGCAAACGGGGATCCCGGACGTTCGGTGGGGCGTCAGAGTTTGCTCTGGTGCCTGCGAATGGCAGCTCTCAGCTGTGCTTGGTGCTCAGCTTTCCCCAAAGGGGCAAAGCGCACTGGCTGTTTTCCCTGGGTGTTGTCTTTCTGTTCTGCAAGCCAAGGGCAGAGGAGGAGGCTAGAAGCTGCTTCCCGCTAGTATTCTTAGCATGCTCCCTGCACTGGCAGGCGGGGCTGCACTCCCTCCGGCACGGGGAGGGAGAGCTGCAGGTCTGTCCTGAGCCCCAGGCCTTCACCCTGGCTGTGTCTGGCCTTGGAGAGGGGAGGTGCACCCACCCTTGGCCAGGGAAGACTGTGCCTGCTGCGTGTCCCTCAGGGCTGCCTCCTGCCACCTCAGCCAAGCTGGTGACGAGATGTTTTGTTTCAGAGCGAGGAAGAGGCCCTGCAGCGAGCTCTGGAGATGTCCCTGGCAGAGTCAGCACGCAGCTCGGCGCATCCACCCAGGTACAGTCCGGGGACACGTGGTGTCACGCCCCAAGCCTACATGCGAGAGGTGCCCAGGGCAGAGTCATGGGGCTGCGGGATGACATTCCTCTCAGCACGTGGCTCCGGATGATGCCTCAGCGTGGCTGACGGGGGGGCGGGGAAAAAGGAAGAGTCCAGAGCCATCACGGAGCACTGTACAGTGAGCAAGCTCTCTGGTGTGCTGGGAGGGGACAGCGACTGACAGCACAGAGTAGGGCGAACCATTGTCTGACCACTTGTCAGCTAATGAGCATGGCTAGACCGTGACAGAGGTGGAGTACGGGTGCTCACAGGGGACACCCGGGAGCCCACGTCCTTGGGCAAGTTACCTGATGCTGCTAAAAGCACCACCTTACAGACTGGAGTTAACGTGGTTCTCCTCGGCCCAGGGTGCTGGCTGCCAGCCCCAGCTGGATCCCCTGGTCCCTCCCCAGCCCCTGGTTTGTTCAGGGCAATCCTCAGTTGCTCCCTGCCCTTAGCTACCCTGGAGGGTTGCGGTGACAGGAGACCCTGCCACCCTGAAGGGCTCTGAGCCCGGGGGAGCCCGAGGCACACAATGCACCGCTGTCCCCAGCAGCACGCAGGAGGAGGAGGATCTGGCACTGGCCCAGGCGCTGTCAGCGAGCGAAGCCGAGTACCAGCAGTCGCAGCGGCAGGTGAGTGAGGCTGGCTGTAGGCTCTACACCGTGGTGGGGTTGATCCCAGCCTGGCTGTGGCATGGTGGGGTCTTCACTGGGTTCTGTTTCCTCTGGGCTCTGTCTTAGGGTCATTTTTCTCACCAGGGGGACAGCCCGGCCTAGGGCAGCGGCAGCATCGCTGCTGAGCACACAGCCCTGGGGACTCGAGCACTGGATGTGCGCCCTTGTAGGACAGAGGAAGAAGCCTGTCTTCCCTTGCTTACTGTGTGCTTCTTCCCGTTCCAGGCGCACGGTTCAAAGCCATCAAACTGCAGCATGTCGTAGGCAGGCGAGGCAGGGTGTGCCAGTGGACGTGGGATCCCGCTTGTGACCTGAGGAGCAGCTCTGGCCTCCCACGTAGATGCCGAGGGGTTCTGGCCTGGACACTGACGACAAGAGCCCCTCGCCAGGGACAGTTCCTCTCCCTGGGGGCTGTAAGCGAGCCTCCAAACACACACTGACACCTCAGCCCTAGTACCTGTGTAAAATCGGTGCAGCAAATTGCTGATGCTCCTGAAGAGGTGAAGACAATGTGGGACGAGGCTGAGCACTTGCTGACCAAAACAAGCAGCAGCCCACGGCATGCACTTAGCCACAGCTGCTGCGGCCGTGTCCCAGCACTGCTGGGACTGTGGGGTGAGGGCACAGCCGGCCTGGCGGGGAAGTGCTGCGCGGGGACATCTCTGCATGCTCGGACATACAGCCGGGATGCGGCTGCCTGCTGCAGTAGTGGGGAGCTGGATTTTGTGCTCCGGGGAGGGCCGTGCCAGTCCCTCGGCAAGAGCAACTGTGGCTGGGACGGTCTCTCGCACAGGCGTGGCATGGCCGAATGTGGGGCCAGCTGGCAGCGTGAAGGCAGCCCCTTCCCCACTCCCCATGCCCTTGGTGCCTCCCCTGCTGTTTGCATGTACAAGAGCACGTTGGGCCGTACCCAGATTTGCTGGGGCCCAGGACCCCTCTGAGACTGAATGGAGCTGTGTTTCCTTTCTGGTTTAATTTAACAAGGGCCATTAACTGAGAAGTAACCTCAGCAGTGACTTGACGGTGCCAGCATCGCTTGCACGGGAGGACTGCAGCTGCCTTCCTGCTGCTGGCTCTGCTGCCCTAAGCTATCCCAGGGCCCTGTTTCAATGCTGCTGGGGCAGGAACGCCTCCCTCCTTCCAGCCCTGCAGTAGGGGGTCCCCTCCTGGGGAGCAGCAGCACAGAACCCCTCTTTGCAAACCCAGCCCTGAGCCTGGAGCCAGCCCTTCCTTGCTGGCGTTTGGTGGCAGGAGCTGACGCCCAGGTGGGGGGGACTTGTCCTGCTGGCCTCTCGCAGCGGGGTCTGCAGCCGTGCAGAGCCGTGCTGCTTTCCCACCCGCTCTCTCGAGTTTTCCTACTGGAATTGCTCTTGCCTGCGGGGCTGGGCCTGGTTCTGCACAGGGCTGAGCTGTCCCGCTCCGAGCAGCGTACAGCTGGGGGGGGTTAGCTGCTGGCAGTGCCTCCCTGGAGCGGGAGGTGGGTTCCATCTGGGCTGAGGGAATGCTGAGACTTGTCAAAGTGCTGCTTGGGAGAAAATAAAAGCATAGCATAAGGTGCAGAGGCACTCTGGGGGAAGTGGTGCAGCTTGGTGTCCAGCACAGAGTGGTGCATCTCTGCAGACGGGGGCACAAGGAGGTGCAAGGGGGGGGCACACGGGGGTGAAGTGGGCACCAGTTGGGCTGTTTTTCCCCTCCTTTGCCGTTGAGCGCAGTGCCCTGCCATGCTCAGCCCCCTGTGCGGGGATGGGGCAGGCGCTGACAGCCTACGCTGACAGCCTGCTCTGCCCCTCGCCCTCCTGAGCCCCGGGAGCTCAGCCCCGCGGCAGAGCTGCTGCTCAACCCAAGGGCAGCGGCATTAACCCTGCCTGCCCTGCCTGGAGCACGGCCCCCGCCGGGGGGTCCCTGCAGGCGCGTACCCTGCCCAGAGCACACAGGCACGGAGCTGGGAAGGACCTGGTTTAATAAACTACACAACAGCAAACCAAACGGGTACAAACGTAGTGGAGTGTCCAACCCAGCCCTTGCAGCTCCCGGGGCACGCGGGGCCCCGGCCTGCAGCTGGCAAAGGGCTCCCTGGCAGTGCGGGGGCCGGGGCCCCGGGTCAGCGTCACAGCAGAGCCCCCAGCCGTGCTCACGGCCCCTTCTTGCTGCCTGGGGGCTTCTCGGTGCGGCGCTCCTTGCTCTCGCCCTCGTCCCCAGCCTGCTGCTGCAGCCACATGCCGGCGTACACGCCGCCCTTCTGCAGCAGCTCCTCGTGCCTGCGGGGAGAGCGTGGGGGTGCAGGGTCCCAAGCTGGCCCCAGAGCCAGGCAGGGGGTCCCCGCGGGCAAACAGCACCAAGCCCTCGCCCTGTGCTCACCTCCCTCGCTCCGCGATGCGCCCGTCCTTGAGCACCAGGATCTGGTCTGCGCCCACCACGGTGGAGAGCCTGCAGGGAAAGGCAGGGTATTATCCTGGCTCAGAGGGGAGAGGGTCCGGAGGGGTCTGCACAGTGCAAGGAGCTGCAGTTGCAGGGGCTGTCACCTCCTGGGCAGGAGGACAGGTCTGCAAGTCCCTCTGCGGGGGGCTGGCCAGGTCAGAGAGCTCAGCACCTCCCAGATCAGCCCTTTCCCCCATCCCTACCTATGTGCAACAACGATGGTGGTGCGGTGGGCGCAGACCTTAGCCAGGGAGGCCTGGATGTTCCTCTCGGTCTCCGTGTCGAGTGCAGATGTGGCCTGCGGGAGAGGCAGGGTGTGGGGAAGGGATGCAGGCAGCCACTGGGGCTAGGGCTGATGCAGAGCAGGGCAAGGCTGGGCTGGGGGCCGCTGCCGTTACCTCATCCAGCAGGATGATCCGAGGACCCTTCAGGATGGTGCGTGCGATGGCAACGCGCTGCTTCTCCCCCCCGCTCAGCTTCAGCCCCCGCTCCCCTACCTGGGTGTTGTATCCTGCAGGCACAAGGGCAGGAAGGTGGTGTGGGATGGGGATGGGGACCGGGGCTCTGCTGCACGGGGGCGTCCTGCCAGGACCACGCAGCTGCCCGGCGCAGCCTCAGCCCATCCCTGCCCAGGGCCTGATTTAGCCCTGGAGAGACGACAGGGAGAGGCAAAGCAAGGCACAGGGTCACACAGGTGTCCCCATGGGGAATGTCACCCAAGGACAACCGTGAGGGCAGCTACAAGGTCATGGGGGACAGGATAGCAGGGGAAGGCAAGGAGGGGACTGCGGGGGTCTCACCATCGGGGAAGGAAAGGATGCGGTCGTGGATGTCAGCAGCCCGGGCTGCCTCCTGCACCTCCTGGTCGGTGGCCAGGATCCGCCCGTAGCGGATGTTGTTGGCGATGGTGTCGTTGAAGAGCACCGTGTCCTGGGGCACCACCCCGATGTGAGCACGCAGCGATGCCTGCTTCACCTGGGGAGGGGGAGAGGGCTCAGCCAGACACGCACCCCCGGCAAAGACCCCCCAAAACCCAATCCTACCCCTCAGCTGCGAGCTCAACACCCCACTCCTCGCAGTATCTGCTCCAGGGTTCCCCCAGACCACAGGCTCAGCTGCATCTCCACCCTGCGGTGGGGGAACCCCGCCAGTGTCCCGGCCCTTCCCGGGGAGCCCTTGCCAGTCCCCAGCATTTCAGCCCAGGGGGTCCTGCAGTCGCCCCTCTCACCCCACTCCTGACACAGATACCAGCCTTCAAAGGGGCTGTGGGGGCCGTGTGCCTCACGCCTGCCCTGGGGAGACGCCAGTGCCTGCACCGAGCAGCGCGGTGAGGCCCAGAGGAGCTGGTGTCCCCCCCGCTGGTCCACGGAGGTCTCCCACCCTCACCTGGGAGATGTCCTGCCCGTCGATGCGGATGCAGCCGCCCCGCACGTCGTAGAAGCGGAAGAGCAGGCGGATGACGGTGCTCTTCCCCGAGCCCGAAGGTCCCACCTGAACGCGAAGGTAAAGGGACTTGGAGACACCAGAGACTCCCTGCTGCTGGAGGCCAGGGGCTGGGCAGGGAAGCATCAGCCCTGTTGGGGGTCTCTGTCCTTCCCACCCGCCTACTTCCCAGCCCCTCTTCCCCCATCCCACCCTCCAGCAGTGAACCCAGACCCAAGGTCCCGCTCTCACCAGGGCCAGGGTCTGCCCGGGCATCACAGAGAAGGAGACGTCCTGCAGGATTTCCTTCCTGGGAGAGGGAGATGGAGAGGGGCTCAGGGCCACCTCCCCTGCCACACGTCCCTGTGCCAGGCCCCATAGCTCAACGCGTCCCACCCTGCCACCCCATGCCTGCTGCTCCATACCCATCCACGTAGCTGAAGTGCACGTTCTCAAACTCGATCCGCCCGGCCTCCAAGCGCAGATCGCCGGCATTCACCGCATCCTTCACCTGCCAGAGGGTGAGACAGGGCCTCAGAGCCAGCCCCTCCCCGGGGCAGGAGCACGGGGCCGTGCCAGGAACACAGGGCCGTGCCAGGGAGCGGGGTCCAGGAAGGTGGCACCCACCTCCTGCTCCTCGTGGAAGAGCTCGAACATGTTCTCCATGTCTATGAAGGAATTCTGGATCATCCTGGAAGGGGGCGAAGACCAGAGGGAAGGGTTTGGGGGTGCGCATCCCAACCCAGGTGCCCATGGGGAGGAGGACCCCAGGCACCCCCATAGCTCCCAGCATTACCTGTAGTAAGTCCCAAACCAGTTGAGCGGCGTGTAGAGCTGGATGATGTAGGTGCCGAAGAGGACAAAGTCCCCCACCTGGAAGGGACAGGGGAGAGGTGCCTGTCACCACCAGCCCCGGGGCCCCACGCCAGGCAGGGGCTGCCCAAACTGGCACCAGCTTTACCTGCAGCTTGTTTTCGGTGACAAAGTAGGCGCAGAGCAGGGACCCCGCCAGCAGCCCCAGGCCGATGACCAGGTTCTGGGTCTGGTTGAGGAGACCCAGCGAGGCACTGACCTTCCACTCTGAGACCTGGAAGAGGCAAGGTCCTTCGGGATGCTGCCGCCTCCAAACCAGACCCACGGCGAGCTCCATCCTCCTACCAGGTGCCCATGAGGCTCGGCTCTGTCCGCCCCGGCTCCCCCACTGGTGCTGAGCGCCCCGTACCTGGTACTTGACGATGGCATCGTTAAAGCGGTTCACCTCGTAGCTCTCTGCATTGTAGTACTTCACCTGCAGGATGCAGAGCTGGGGTCAACACCCGGATCAGTCCCCCCCTCCAGTGCCAGGCAGTGCTCAGCAACCCCCCACCGCCTACGGTACCGTCTCGAAATTGAGGAGCGAGTCCACAGCCCGGGACTTGGCCTCG